ATTACCTGGCCTTTGTGTAGATGAAGGAGAGCAGCCACCAGCACACACGTCTAGCCGATCCCCTCACAGCCTCCACACTGCTGCCCATTGCCCAAGGACCGACCGTAACATCTGTGTGCCATAAAATGGTACAACGGCGTCTTTTATCAGGCGGACCCCAATGCGAACGCCACGCGGACCGCCCGTAATCGAACGGTTGGTCCAGGACGACTGACGCAGGGCTTAGCTGATTTTGTCTGGTCTGACACAATTTCTATAAGCATTGGTAAACCATCAGTTCAATCGTTTTGAGTTGACCTCGCGATTAAAGCATAAAGGCTAGCCATTAGTCTATCCCAGAAACAAATACACCCTTCGCATTTGTTCGCGGCATTCGTGATAACTGCGGTTCAAAAGCATGGGAACACAGCATAAACACAGCCAGTCTTCCAATGGGTATTGTTGGGTCCAGATGGCAGAAAGATGGCAGAAAGTTTTTGAAGGTAGGTATAAAAGGAACACTTCCCTAAAAGCAGCTCCAAAATCCAGAATATTACGTTTCCACTTTTTGATCCTTTTTCAGCTCTTGAAAATACTTCACCTTTTATCTAACAGAACTTGATTGAGTGTCTTTCAAAGCCAGAAAATTGTAAAGGTTGTATAAATAAGGGCTTCGTGTGCTGCTCATCCAAAAAAGTTTACAATTTGCCTGGAGACAGAGCCAGTATGCCAGCTTATACAGTTGGAGACAGCGTAGACATTTTTTTTCACCTCTGCATTTGTATTTAATTTTGCAGTGCAATTTGAGAATGCTGTTCCAGTGGGTTGCCGCATTGTTGAAAGCTGTCTCTGAATCTGAAAGCGAGCTGATAATGGGCAGTCAGGTCGGGATATCGCCAAATGTTTAAATGCATTATGTCTCACCACGAAACCGTCCCATTACGCCTCAAAAGGAACACTACATGCCAGTTTCTGACATAAACTGACATAAACCGTCAGGGAACTCTGTCGAGGCACCGACACCACTGTCTACCATGCCAGAAGCCTCCGTCCCGGCCAAGCAGTGTCGTCTGTCTGACCGCGAGGGTCACGTGATGTAATTTGGAGTATCGCACGGCGCACGGCACTGTGGTGTCATGTTGGGAATGACCGTCTGCTAGCCCTCCTCCCCCCTCCCCCCTAGACGTGGGTGGATACAGTGTCTGGTGTCTGCCGACCCCGGAACTAAAAGGTCTTCCTGACCGATCGGATGTCACAGGTCAAAGGTCGGCACGTGCACGGCGGTGTGGGTGGTGTTCTCAGGACGTCGGTAGTCTTTGGTAGGCTGCATGGTCAGCCGGGAGCAGAATTGGAGGTTGCCTCAGGTGGCAGGTCAAGACCTGGAGTGGCTAAGATTGAGTAGTTAGGAACGGAGTTGTGCTGGTCCTTTGTTGATTATTTGCTAGCCATTGATCGTGGATGCGGTTGGGACTTGACCGATCACGACTCGGTAGTTTGCTGACGTCTTATTGTTTTGAGGCGAAGCATAAAGTCGATGGCCTGTGAGCGTTGATTTACTACCGGAAGGTTATCACCGCCGAATGCTTCATTAGCACCGGCCATCGCTCATAATAACGGAAGGCTGTATAATAACGGCTAAATAACAAGCCGTCTAGACCACGGTACACAGCAACAGTTGGTCGTAGGTTTAATTATTCTGCGCCTTCGCTCACGACTCGATCGTACAGACATGCATCCGACAGGTTTGACGGTATCCCGCAGTGTTAGCGGACACGGCTGTGCCTGTGATCAGTGGGGCAGTTACTGACGACACGGCCACACGGGGGATAACACCTATCACTTCTCCCTCTGGTCTTGGCACGCCAATTATCCCCGGGGCCCGTACAAAGGAGCGGTCGGCAGAATATGGGAGCGCCGCCCGCCGCCGATGGCCACTCACCTGGGTATGTTCTGGTAGCGGTGGCCTATGTCCATGTTCGGGTATAAGCTGCCAGTCCAAGAATGCTTGCCAAGGTGAAATTTAGCTAGCAAATCTACCACACGCCAGTTTATAGTGCACGGCGGCTGCAGCAATGCCCAAGCTGCTGCTAGTTCGATGCAATTTGATCTTCGATAGGAAAGCACTCGCATTTCGGCAGAGATTTGCCAACGATTCTGCCACCAGGCTGAGACCTCACATACATACAGCGCACAAACGATGCTCTCCGACCAATACGCTGGCGTTAACTGGGCCGGATAACCGACGCACTCCCTTGTTTTTGGTTGTGTCGTCTGCTTTACTATCGTTAGGACTTTGGAGTTTGGAATGAGACTTGTGTTTGCCAAACACCAGCGAGTCGTTCCTTCGTGTGACTGTAAATGCGTTTGAATTTGCTTTAGCCATGATTGTTCATTACACTATGCAACAAAAAATGAAAAATTTTCTGTTCCTGGAAAGCGACCGAATTTTTCTTATTCATTGGGTCCTATTATAACCGAAATGGGCATTAGTTTTGATCTGAAAATGCTTTTCCGGTTTTCAGAGACGATTTTCGATTTTCGGCCCCGAAATTCGGTTTTTGGCCCACCGTGTCCGATGTAATTGAGTAATCGACTCGCGGTAACTTTCATCGCCTTTCCTATGCCACAAGCTTTCGAATGATATCTGGTTTTGCATATTTGCGTGCAAAAATAACGTCATAAATCTATGTTAAAGTAAGAAAATGTTGAAATTTTGTAAAAATTTGACATTTTTTTCGATTTCATTTCAAAATAGAAGAAAAACTAAAGGCCCCATCCAAATTCCGAGCCCAGTTCCTTGAAGAGCATTCAATTTCCGTTCGGAAGGTACCTTTTTAGTGCATTTTATCGGATTCCTGTGGCGTCCAGATTGAGTTAACCTAAACACATATCCTAAGTCATATCACATAGCATTAACCTGATAACGTATGTTAACGCCATAGGATCAACGAGGGGTCAACTGAGGTCATTTTGTTGACCCCTTATGACCTCGGGTCACACGCAGGAACTTACTTTTGAGCAGTCCTGTCGCTCAGAATCTTGATCTGTTGGGGGCCCGTTTTTCAAGTGACTCAATCTGGACGCCACAGTAAACCGATAAAATGCACTAAAATAGTACCTTCCGAACGGAAATTGAATGCTCTTCAAGGAACTGGGGTCAGAATTTGGATAGGGCCTTTAGTTTTTTCTCTATTTTGAAATGAAATCGAAAAAAAATGTCAAATTTTTACAAAATTTCAATATTTTCTTACTTTAACATAGATTTATGACGTTATTTTTACACGCAAATATGCAAAACCGGACATCATTCGAAAGCTTGTGGCATAGGAAGGGCGATGAAAGTTACCGCGAGTCGATTACTCAATTACACCGGACACAGTGGGCCAAAAACCGAATTTCGGGGCCAAAAATCGAAAATCGTCTCTGAAAACCAGAAAAGCATTTTCAGATCAAAACAAATGCCCATTTCGGTTATAATGGGACCCAATGAGTCCAAAAAAATCGGTCGTTACTCAGGAACAAAATGACTGTTGCATAGTGTTATTGGACTTCCTACATCATAATTTATGTATATAATGATCATAATTCATTCGCGTTCGTGCTGCGACCATTATAGTCGTATTATTACACTGTGACTAGACTGTAATGTGTAAACTAATTGAACGCGCATTTATCTAATCTTAGTCTATTGTTGCATGTTTCACTGAAAATTGGGTGCAAATCCAGTCATTAATTTCCTTTTCCATAGTCTATGACTCTAGACCACAGGGTGAAGTTAAATTTATGACTTGGCTTAATGTTGACGTACTGTCTCACGGGGCGCGCGTGTTAAACGGCTAACCACCGTTTATTGCGTACAGATGCGCTATGCATGCGTGCACTATTAACTGTTTGTTACGATTTTCGTGGATGTTGGACAGCTTTGTAAAGATATTAGGTGAGCCTTACGGATGATTTTAGACGATCCCACGAACAGTTGCACCGCTTCTATTCGGAGATACGAGCCTGGGTCAAAGATGTCCACCGTCCATTACAATATCATACCGTAACTAAAAGCGCTTGTAAGTCCAAATCTGCCGGAGTTGAAATGACTCCCGATGGACCCGGACTGCCAACATTTCGGACAATTTTCTGGGAAAGTCCCGCTGTCCTCACGGTGCGGCGTCTGCCCTGTTGACACATCCCTGTCGTTTATACTCCTGACAGTGAGTCGATAGGAACATCGCAGTCGACAGTGAAAAACTAGCGTTGCAGCGAAACACTGACAGATGAGAGCCGGGAGTTGACTGCTCCCACTGACGGCAGCTGGAACCCTGAGCTCGCCCCAGAGGAGTCTGGCTCCTCCGACCGTGCAGAGGCGGAGGCGGAGTGGCTGTGTTCGCTCGCGCGGAAGTCTTTTGTTTGAGCCAATTGTTGTCTTATTACAGACAGACGGGCTGCCGCTAAGTGCAGCGCTGTAAAGTCTGACAATGAGAGACCTCTGGTAAACGGAGAAAAGGAAAGGCATAGAAAGCCGACTGAATTTAAAACTTCTCGATCTGTTGGCGGCAGAGCTGTATGATAAAATGGCAGATAAAACCATTCCTGCCTACCACAATTGTATTTGCTTGTCTTTCATCTCCTTTTTGTGCAGTGAATGTGTTTTCATCAGCGGCATACTTAAGAACACATTAAAACATAACCATTGCGGCGATCGTCTCCCTGACCCCTGAGGTGACCTCTCATCCAGTCACTAACCCGGTGGTGACCTCAGTGACTGACCCCATTGGTAACATCTTTCAGTTTCTGGCCCTGTAGTGTTCTCTACTTTATTCACTGACCTCTTGATGACCTGCCCCTCAGTGGCTGACCCCGTGGTGACCTCTCCTTTAGTCCCTGACCCCGTAATGACCTCTCCTCTGTCATTGACCTCGTAATGTTCTCTCCCTCAGTTACTGACCCCGTGACGACCTCTCCTTCAGTCAGTGCCTTCCTTTGCCACTTCTCTCTCGTCTCATAACCCTCAGGTGAAAAGCAGCGAACACGTTAACAGTGATATTGTATTACATAAAACGCAGACGCGGACCGCCGGCGCCCATCAGAGCGGACACTCAGCCCTCCGACAGGGTGTCCGGTTACACGGGATGGCATCTCTCCTGGGACGCCGGGCCCCGCTCCACTCACATACGGTAGCGCCGGAAGACAGATCTCTCTCACTCGCGCCGGCGCCGGTCCGCCCGCCCAGACCCCTCACTGCAAGGTTATCACAGACAACAAACAACGCCGGCCAAATAGCTGCTCTCTCGGCCCCTGCCGCCTGGTTCGGTGAGGTCTGTTAGAGAGCGGCTGGTCGCGGCAGCGCGCGCAGACACCAACAACAAAATAGACATGAGAGCGACTCGGGCCAGCGCGACCGCGCGACGCAGGCCGCGGCACTGGGCGCAGCACATCAATACCGAGATGGTACGCAGCGAGCGTGGCGCAAACGACAGCGCTCAATGTGACTGATACCGAGCCGGCGGCAGAGCTCAACATTTCAGCGGGGCGCGGCAGGTCGGCCGACCGTGCTCACCCAGCCTACAGCGGCGGGGGCAGTTCATTTGATGGCCGCGGAGCCGGACTCGAGGGTAGCTCGCAGCGGAACGGAGCCTTCCACCCAGAACCCGGGGCGGTCGAGCATCTGCTCCCACAGCGAGGCCTCGGCGCCCTCCGCGTCCATCCAGTGCGCCGGTTTGCCCTGGTGTTGACCTGTCGGAAAGAGACGAGACAGTGAGAGAGACACCCTGGGCTCAGGGGACGGGAAGGGTAATGGTGCAAGCATAATGTCAACCTCGGGGGCGGTTGTCCGGACACACGTGACCTTACGATACGGAAACGGAAGGTTAATTAACCCTTTGCCCAGGAGACTACCGAAGGTTCATCGTACTGTTAAGTTCCAATGGCCCTGGAAGGTCAACTACCGCCCACCTGAAACGTGACATTTAGAACTATTCGAAGCACCATATCCATCAAACCAAGTCCGAGGAAGCATATGAGCTCCCCGAGGACACAGTCTACCGGGAAATAGCCTCCAGCACTCAGAACCGACGCCGGAAGTCTGACCCGAGGCGTCGGGGCACGCCCACACTGTCAGCTATTCCGACTACCGGCAACGTAATTAACTACCGCTCATATGGCGGCGTTGGCGGGCCGTGCCTCGCATTGCTCATCGGCTGACACGGGGCGGCCCGGGCCGGCAGCGTCGATCAATCGCGCCGGTACGCAGCCCAGGGGGGGGGGGGGGGGAAGGCGGCGGCGGCAGGTAGCGTGGGTGTCTGCCGAAGCCGAGCGACGGTGTGCGGCGCGACACCCGACGAGGGGAGACGCGTAAAGGAGGAGTAAATGTCACACTGTCCACTGAGACCGAGAGGACGGAGATGGTGCTATCCGTGACGGTCGTCTAGACTTGGTAGAGGAAGGAAAAGAAGATGGACGGATGGCGGAAGATGGAGGACGGGACGGAGGACGGGGACGATGGGAAAAAGGACGGAACAAGGAGGACATGACAGAGGAAGGAGGGAGGGAGGAACAGAGGAATGGACGGAGGAAGGATGTCGAAAAACGGGACAAAGGAAAGAACATCGGAAGACGGGAAGGATGATGGGACAGGGACGGGACTGAGTACAGATGGTGGGAGAGAGGATGGGGACGGACAATGAAGGATGGGATAGAGAAAGATTGAACAGATGACGGGGGACGAAGAACGGGACGGAGAGCGTGTCGCGAATGAATCGGACAGCGCACGCACTAGAGACGGACGGGGGCGGACGGGACGTGTCGGCTCATCCCGAGGAACACGGCTGTGCTCTCAGCGCTGTCAAGGCTCGTCCTGAGCTCAGTCAGTGCTAATGAGTCGACAAGGCAGGTGTGTTGTTCGTCGGCCTCTCCCAGTGGAGGGCGGATAAACAGCACCGTCGAGAGCGACAGAGATCGGCCAGCTCCCGCACTTAGCGTAGACTGTAGTCTGTAGAGTCAATTGATGTTTGTGTGCCGCTGTGTGTGTGACAGTCCTCTTCTGACTATTATTGTTTTCTGGCATTGTGCGTATGTGGTGTATACCTTATACCAGAAAATGTATTTCCCAAGCATTGCGGAGTTTGTCCTCAGATGCAATACAGTTTACACCAAGTGCAAACCAAGTTCAGAAACTGCCACATTCAACGACCCTGCGACAGCGCGAAGCCCCAAGCAGTACCGTGCTTTCTCAGCCGCAAAACAACTCGAAACTGCTTGTGGCTGGCGGCGAATGAACAGGACCAAAAGTTTATCCAGCATCGGTGGAATACAAATCAGTTGAACCCATCAGGATCGAGACTATTAATATTCGCAAACAGCGACAGAGGAAAAAGTTCGGTAGACTGTCAAATGGCTGAATGTTGACAGGCAGTGCGGACAGGACCGAGTGCGCTGAGCATTGGTCCTAACCAGGGCTGCGGAGTCGGAGTCGGAGTCGGAGTCGGAGTCGGTCGGAGTCGACAGTTGTGACCGGAGTCGGAGTCGGAGTCGGAGTCGGAGTCGATTTTAGAAACCCGAGCCGGAGTCGGAGTCGGAGTCACCGAAAATCTGTCGACTCCGCAGCCCTGCTACGTCAGCGGAGTCGGAGTCGGGAGTTGGAGTCGGTCGGAGTCGACAATTCTGCCCGGAGTCGGAGTCGGAGTCGGAGCTGGTTTTTGGAAGCCAGAGTCGGAGTCGGAGTCGGAGTCGCCGAAAATCTATCGACTCCGCAGCCCTGGTCCTAACTCCTATACATACCTTCCAGCTACGTGTCCATAAGGTCATTTCCCGATACACATTGGAGCTTTGGGAGGGAAGCCACCGCTGGTCAATAGCTTGTAATGCGATTGCCGGTATCAGGAAGCCATAGTAGGAGTCATGCAAGGACAGCTGCGCTGATTAGATTACCGGACGTATGCGCTGATTGCGTTACCTCCGACATAGGAGCGTGCCTCTTCAAGGTTTAACTTAATGACATTGCTGGCATTGACCGTATGACGTGACATTGGAGCCAGATAGTTTGTAGGAATTTCTTGCTAATTATTTGATAAATGAACAAAAAAAAAAGATCGTTCGGCCTACCATCCTCCGAGCCTTCTAGCTTCTCTCTGTCTCGGTCGAATTTCCACCCACCTGAGCCATTGTTGAAGCGGGCGCCACCCAGAAGCTCGCTGGATGTCAGGCTGTGGTCCCACACGGTCAGCTCGAGAGCACGCTCCTTCAGCTCCGCCAGCGTGACGTCCGAGAAGAGAAGCGTGCCCGACCACCGCGGACTGGTGGTGCGACGAACGACGGATGTCTTCTGCTTGCTACCCTTCCGGTCCGGTAGGAGGTAGCTGGGGATGAAAGAAAGACAACAGGGTCAGTTTATAGCTACATGATAATCGTTCTCATGAAAAAGAATTTGCGCATTGTTATCAGTTTGATTTATAGACGGAACGGCCAAATTTCGTGTTCTCGAGGAATTTGCCAAATGTTGAGGCATAACTGTGGTAGGATGCATTGCACATTTATCTGTTCTCATACAGTTATCTTAGTAACACTTCCTACCATCAGCTTACAAGAGATGGAAGTGGTTTGAAATAGTTGAGAGCCAGAGTCACGCTTGAATCGCAATACAGGCCCCATAGCGACGCCTTGTTCCCGCACCGGCTCATAGATGGCGTTAGTAGTGATCGCCTGAATGCATACTGCACCGCAACGCCTCGTTTCATGGCCGCAGTGACTGTGGTCGATTTGGGGAAGAACCGCACGGCCAGAGATTGCCATTTCAGATAACTGACATAAATATCGATCCATCCGCGCGGACCCCCCCCCCCTGTTTTATGCCACTCTTAGCGTTCATGCATACGCTAAGCACGGCAATTGATGTTCCGCAACGCTTTCAGTGGCATGCTGTTCGGACATTATTCCGCAGCTTTTCGATATGACAGGACGCACAATAACCCTCCCGAGTCGATAAGGCGGTGGTATCATTTGTCACAACACAAGCGGCTGGTTGCCATCCATCAGGGCCGTATACGGTGCGGGCCTGGACTCGGTGTCGTCAGCCGGCCAGTTAACATTTCAGCCGGAGCTTGGGGCGAGCTCGTGGCATTCATCACGGGACAGTTACATGGCATTTCCACTCGGTACTGTCCGGGCCGACCTGCACACGTGATGATTAAACTATCGCGGTGACCCACGGAAGGTCAGGGGTCACAGCGTGGGCGTAATGCACTGCTCAGGGTAAATATTACATACGGCTATTGTTTCAGCCAGTGGCAGTTATATTGTAGAAGCAAGACCAATAATCTATAGGCAGGGATGAGTTCCGGATATTTGCTGCCGGCTTTGGTGCAAGGTCGTTGATGCGTAGACAAATGAGCAAGCACTTGGAAGCCCTGTAGAAGGTCTTGTTCAAGCTAAACGATGTAAGTGGTTTTGTTGCTTCAAATATTAGTGTTTAGGGAATGTCACTGTTCAATGCCTGCAGCAAACGGTACTAAATTGCAAACTCAACGAGGGCAAATACATCTAATTCCATTTCTAGTTTTATAATTTTGAAGATTCATGGGTGATTTATCCTTGGTGTCGTCAATTGTTTGTTTTGCTGGGTTAGGCCCTTTCGGTCCAATGGGACCATTTCAGAGCCGGGAGGATGATAGGATATAGGGGGAGACATTGGTCTGGGCAGGCACCCTAGTGAGTCGCCGGGGCTGAGCCCGTCCAGAGGACAGGCCACCCAGCCCCAAGGCACTCACTGCACCCGGCTACGGGGTGCGCTCCCTCGGGATCAGCGGTGCCGCTCCAAGGGAGCAGCCCGCATGAGATAAAGTTGCCTGTCCAGCCCGGAGGGGGTTGCGGCGTGGAGGAGAAGGATTTCAGTATCCTGAGGATAGAAGCACGGAACGGTGTCGTCGATTATGCTGCTAACAAATATTAAAATGATGGCCAGAATACCTGCCCATCGGCTGTTCGCTTCACCACCAGTTTCACGCTCCACTCACCACTTGCAGAAGGGGTCTGCCGAGCCGTTGGATCGCACTGCCACCAGGTGTTTGGCCTCCTTGACCATGACGTGGAGGGCTCCTCGCGAGCGGCGCGACCTCCGACTGCCGTCTCCCTCCTCCGGCGGGGCGTACTTCAGGGCGACGACGACGTCACCGCGACCGGAGCCGCCCTCCTCGTGAAGGTCACTCTTTGAACAGGGAGAGGGTACACTTCGTCAGAGGTTGGCTGTGGAAGTTACTCTACACATGGGGGAGGGGAATGAGACATTTTTAGCAGCTGTCTGTTGTGGATGTAAGGCGATATACTCTGCAAGCAAGTGTATCTTTGTCATTGGGTAGATGCTGAGCAAATGAAGCTAATAGACACCCGTGCCTACCTTGAGCACCTGAAAGGGTTTACCTAAAATGATAAGCTTCATTAAGATGGCATTCAGAAGGAAACAATGCAATGAGGCTGCAAAATGACTTATTAGAAAGTACAGGAACTGCAAACAAATAGAACCCGATACCAAATTTGACATGTCAAATTGACTTCAGGAAGTCAATTGTGCAGAGGATAAAACTAATAAAAAACCTACCCCCCTCTCATCCTTGAGCTACTTCCATTTCTTGTCACGGCCAACTGACCCTAATTCAGGTGGCTGTGGTGGATGGCTACCATATCTCAGAATAGCCGGATTGATCCAATTTGTCCGTCCGGACAGGCGTCTCGTTTGACGTCACACAGGTCGGATGACGTCAGGGTGTCTCTGGAGGCTCCATATACCGTCTCACACTGGCTATTCATTCTTCTCCTTCAGGCGTCTAAAACGAGCGTGTCCGAAAGTAGCCTCATCGCGAGCGGGGCGGTCAGAAGCTAGCTCTTATACCAGCGTCCATCGCGCCGCGTAGCACGTAGCACGTCCGTCGTTTTGTGTCGCTAGCCAACAAATAACCCACATCAGAACGCAAGTTATCTATCCCTCCCCTTCTTCCACAGTAGTCTGTAGCCCACCTGCTGCCTTTTATTCAATATTGGAGCGGTGCCGGTCTGAGCAAGACCCCGTTTTACTTAACCCAAGGGGCCAGTTCAGGCTTTTATGACACCTCAGAGAACAGTGGATCAACCTAGCTGGTCAGGGACCATGAGCAGTGTACTTGACCTGACGGGCACTTTGGGCGCATGGACACAGTGTGGGGTCACAGGCGTACCAACATTGCTAATATGCACTGTGTCAACACACTCAACATATGAATAGCAATGGACCGGGTGGTAATTTTTGCAGAGCTCGTCACGCAACACTTACACGAAGCGGGGTGAGGAGTATGGATTACATGTTTTCCAGTCAACGTGCATATCTAGTGATCTGCAAACATTTCCAGCAGGGACTTCATGGTGCTGGTGCCTTGGAGGAACCATTAGGTAAAAGCTCTAGGCATCAAACGTTGTCGTTGTTACCAGTTTTATAGCAGGTCTTGTGACAAAATCGAACAAAGTTCGAATAAAAGACAACGATCATGGATTACCTTGCCAGTCATCGTGTGTTGAGCGCGACCTTTTCAATGAAGAACAACAGTTTCCAAAATAACGTTCAAATGGGCTGTCTGACGTTGACTGTTCGGGAAGGTCAGCTCATAGGGTTGAAAGCCACCGAAAAACGTCCCATTAATATCTTACGGAGATCGCAGCAGCTATCTTCGAAAGAATCAACGAAAATGCCAGCAGCAAAGAGCATGCATATGCCAAGCTCATGCAAACTTCTGAAATTCATTTGAACTTTGTACATTTGCTAACTTTACCGCAATAATCATATTTTGAGCGAGATTAATTGGATTTGCGAGGAGAAGCTAAGAGTAGTGGTACAAGATATAGCAATAGCAGACATCCATTGTACACGACATTTATAAAGATGAGCTTTGCATTGGCTGTTTGAATGCCCGAAAGGATAAATAACTTAGCTTTATTACCTCACAACGAGCAATCCATTTATGAAATATTTCTCAGGAACCATTGTGTAAAATGGGCTGATCGATGCACCGATGCAGTTGTTATGCCTTGCGCCTCAAATGCTTAGCATTACGGGGATAGTGTTGAACGGATTGTAATGATCTCGAAACTTACAGACGATTTCAAACATGAGCTACCCAACAAGGCCAGTTTTCCTACATTCCCGACAATCGCGAGTCACGTTGCCTACCCAGTACCCACTCATCTCTCAATGTATATCATCATGACACCGAGTATCGTTATTCCGGCCTATGCACATGCCGCGGTTTCAGCCCGACTAACGACCTGACAACTGCACCACCGCCATGAGTGTACCAAGACAGATCGTGACCGGTAAATCAGAGCACGCCGAGCGCTCCTGCCTGCGGTTTCAGAGGTGCCACCTCCGTCCCCGAGGGCACCCACGCGTCAGCGTAACAAGCTGCCTTCAGACTGCAGGCCGCACTAACTGCCAATTAGAGACACTGAACGGTCCAAGACCGGATGTCTCCACTGTCCAATGAAAGGCTCAGATGGCGTCGAATGGACGCTTCGCTAAATTGCGGTCATAGGTTGAACGAATGGCGGTGAATGAATTCAGCCGGAATGTGTCTCAATAGGAGCAGGGTTAAATTTGACAGGATCCTAAAATCGTCTGAATGTGACCGAGTGACCGGAAATGAGCGACATAGCCGACTGGATCGCGGCTTCTGGATGATTTCGCGAGAGTGTGAACGTGTTACTAGTGCCTCATTATAATAGCTCAACCGTGTTAGCATTTTCCCCGCGAGAGCTCTGCCGTGTAACCGCTATCCCCTCAACAGATTAACCAGATCAACCGTGTAACTATCGGCTCTTTTCAGCCATGAAAGCGTGACCCCTCCAATATTCAGCTGGGTAACGCTAATTCACAAGAGTTGGGTAGAGTAATATTGATCCCGCCTGGGATCAGTCAAGTTGTCGTGACCCCACATGTCACTCACCCGTTCCTGCAGTGGGTGACTGGGCTTAACTCCGTCCGTACCCGTGTCTGTGACCCGTGACGGTCAAGAGGTCGTGCCCGTGGCCCGTGTCACTCACCCGTTCCTACAGTGGGTGCCAGGAGACCGTGGCAGTGTGGCTATGACCTGTAACCGTGACCCGTGTCCCATGTTACTCACCCTTTCCTGCAGAAGGTGCCATAAAGAGCGTACCCGTGTCTGTGACCCGTGTCACTCACCTTCACCTGCAGAGGGTACCAGGAGACCGTGGCAGGATGACTATAACCTGTAACCGTGCCCCGTGTCACTCACCCGTTCCTACAAAGGGTGCCAGGAGGCCGCGGCAGTGTCCCAGTGTAGTGTGTATCACATCACTCACCCGCTCCTGCAGAGGATGCCAGGACGCCGCGGCCGTACTGTCGTCCAGGGTGATGGACGCCAACGGCAGCAGCACCTCGCCGAGGAAGTCGTTGCGGCCGAACATGTCGCTGTGCCACACGGTCACCCAGAGAGTACGGCCACCGAGCTCTGAGAGAGCGGCGGGGAACTGCAGGGGAAGAGGTATGTGTGAGAGACAGAGAACTGCGGAGCATAGGGGGCAGGGGCGCGTGAGGGTGGAAAACATGCAGCGCGGGGGTGTATGAAGGGCAGTGAACACACAGGGTGAGGAAACACACATTATTTTCTGCCATTTTTATCTCACAGGGAGAGGAGCGTGTGAGGAGTACGGAAATACACACACGGGATAGGGACAGCGGTGTGCCGCAGATACCATACATGAAAGCCGGCCTCTGTGAGAGACAAACTTAGACGACATAAACTGAAGTGTGGGTAAGACATGAGACTATGGATGTGAGGGACACCACAGACACGAACAGGGGCGAGAACAGAAAAAAGACTCGATCACATTTTGTACATAATGGCAAATTAACGACTTTAAACTGACGAAAACTATGGCAAATTTACGATTAAACCACGACGTGATTAAACACTTAACAGCTCATTTCTGAACTATCGCAACAAGTCGACCAGAATAAGGACGTTTCGTTTAACCGTCCCGCCAAGTCAAAGTGACAGTCTTCCTTGCGACGCTGCACGTCCGACTTAAAAGAGGAGAGGCTAATCTAACCGAAATTTCACTTTTCATTTTCAAAGTTAACTTTAATTTCCATTTTTATTTTACATAAAAGTGTCATCTGGGCTTATTGCATCTGCGCTTTTCTCCTCTTTGTATTGGTCTTCTCTAGCAGTTTCATTTCACGTTGGTGTGCCACATTCCGGTAAAATTGTTGGCATTCCCGGCACCCTCAATTCCATCCGTTGGCAATGCTGACAATGCGGTCAGCGGCCATTTCAATATTACATAGTAGGGTAGGGCGACAACAAAGCTTGTTGACAACAACACAAGGTCTGACCAGACAAAGAAAAAAAAAGAACAGATTTGGTGATTGAAATAGCAAGTCACTAAGACCGCAATAGGACGTTCCAATCAATCTGCAAGCTGTATTTCTGCCGCTTCGAACCTTGGTAGGACGAAGGACGAAGCGACATCTCAGAACACTCAGTATCTCGAAGCGGCGTGTTCGGCATTTCATCGAGATTCAACATACCACTTCTAAATGTACTTCTTGGGCATATAGCTTTACTTTCGTATAACAATCTGCTATGAATTGTGTGCATATTCTAGCACATCGCTTAACTTCGCTACATCGATTTGTATCGCACAGTAACTCAAAGCTTGTTTGCACCTTGTTACGGAAAGTAACTGGTCACACGGGTGCATGATTTAACCATATATACCAATACCAGAAAAGGCGTCAATTTATGTCGCTGTTCCTATCTCACTATTACGCTAAGCACAGCGCCGGATCAGGCTCTGACAGGTCCCCCGTTTCGGCGCCCACGCTAATGTGGGCCAGGCCGCCTCAGATCCTTCACCAGGGGAAATAACGCTGTCTGGTCCGTAGCCTACTCCATTACGACCTACGAGCCCCCCCCCCCCCCCTTCCCCACCCACACCCTCAGCTCTCGCCAGCTTAGGTGGCTGGTGAGAGACTTACGAGAGTACGAGGCTGAATAAAGTGCTCTCGGAAATAATGCCGAAACACCTGCAGATCCAGTCACTAAGAGCATAAATAGACGAGCCTGACCACAGTGCCTGGTGATTGCTTTGGCGTAAAAGCTGTAAATAGATTTCGAACAACAGTGGGTATAAGACGCTTTGCATGTTCGCTAATTCCGTTCTTTGGTCTGCCAGTAAGAAGCCGCGTCAATTTCGCAATTACAGTGCCTTCTCACCGTAAATAGTTAATGTAATGAAGAATACAGATACATTTTTTCGAGAGTTCTCACCTTGAGGATTTCTTCGAACATGGGATTCAGCGTATGCTTCTTTGTTTTTGTCTTTCGTTTACCGCTCTTGGATCTATCTGGGAGCAGATAGACCTTCACGTACCTGGAACAAAGGCCAAAACAAATGTCAATCTGGAAACAAATGATGCGATGGGCAATGCATGTTGGTATACATTTATTCACCACACAACTATAAGTTCGATTAAATAAGCTTTATACGAGCCCGAACACTATTAAAGCCCTATAAACAAACTAAAGAACCCAACGTCTACCAAACACAATTAGGATCCACTAACCACAGAGACGTGAGAGCACTCCACCAACCTAATCCAGCCAACATATGACCTTCACATCCCCCTGAAGACCGCATACCACGCCGTCGCCCCATCAGTTGGCCGGGGACCCCAGGCCAATAGCATCACGTGGGAAGTGTCGCCACCACCGCCGCCACCGCGGCCGCCGCGGCCACCGCGAACCAAGTGGGTATGACGACTAATCAATAGGGACCGTGGCCGAAACATTCTGTCACCAGTGCTGCATATCAGTGGGGAATGGTGGATGAGCGGACGGAGGGGGGGGGGGGGGCGGAAGGGAGAGGGGGAAGGCGCGAGCGACGGTGGCGACATACCAAAACTGACGGCTCGGAATCGTGTTGGTAATTGGTGTTGCCGCTGAGGCCATGTCTAGCTGCAGAGCACGGTGGGTTGATAGTGGGCATTTCTATCACGTCCCACAAAAGGTTGTCTGTTCGTATACCTATACTAATCGTTCGCACTAGATCAGTTTCTACAGAACGGTGCCAAACTTACGTCAGAGACGGCGACAAACACGCATAAAAAAGCGAGGGTATAAGCAGGAGTATCTATGCAAACGCTGCGGGGCGGTATCAAACGCGTCCAAAGCAAGTAACAATAACAGCTAGTTAGGTATAGTGACAACTTCGACTCCGAATAAACGATGCACCAACAGGCTGCTAAATTGCGGAATCGGTCCAATAAGCGCCTCGATAGCTGAGCAAACAGCGAACTTTGAATTGAAATCAGTGGTATCAATCTGCCTGAGACCGATATCGAAGATGGCGCTGCGGAGACGACCACCAATTAATTTGAAACGGCTACAGAAATGCCGCAGAACTATGCTAGAACGGTAGCCTAGCTAATCTCAGACGGACAGTCAGCAAGCTAGCATTAGAAGCCAGACTAGCTAGCCCCACACACTCAGCGAACTATCCTCAGATGATCAAAGAGCTAACCTAAGAATGTCCATGAGCTAACCTCATACGACCGAAGACTTGGCCTCAAACGGCAGACGAGCTAATTCCTTTGCCACACAACTAATCATACTAACGTCACGTTCGTCCGAGGAAACCGACTACCCGACGGCCGCCCCGGCAACATTCCATCAACAACAACATGGTCGATAGAAGAAAAAAGCAGCAAGGAAAACAGACCAGCTTTGGTCTGCTATTACTTTTATAAACAAATAACAGTGGCAAGGATTTCCCTGAATGACACCAGAAACAATCCAATTTACCTCTATGTGAGCCACTGAGTGTTATGTTCTACATTTCCGAGTATAATTGACTCACTCGTGGCGACTGGGCGGCGCAGAGCTCCGCCGGGCAACAGCTGAGAATAGGCACGGCCGCTATCTTTTGCCGGAGTTCGCGGAGATCGCATCTGGTGACGGTGCCACGCCTCCAAAATACATCCTAGCCAATGCATAGCAACGAGCTCCCTAGTTCAGCAAGGCTAAGGCGACGTCGCCACCACACGCATTGCATCATGCCCGTCACATTGTACGCCATAAGGCGGACAAAGGACGCCTACCGGGCACTCCCACACAAGTACATACACTACCTACTCCCTCCAACTCCCTCCGACCAGCCGACCAGCCGTCGCCGGCCGTCTGATCCAGCCCGGGCGCTGTTCGGGATCGTTTCTTGATTATCAGCATGCTGCTGCTTTACCAAATATGGAAGCTCCTTACTGCCGTTTCTAGGTCTCTCATTGCGCAACCGCACACAACATGTGTCGTTCACTAATGATATGACGAAAACACCGCAAGCTGGCAGCATGCTGATAAATACGATAACCGAACAGCGCCCCGTTTGACGTCACTTGGGATACGTACGGGTCGGACTTGTTGCGCCGGGCGTCAGCGGCGGCCAGGTTGCGGCACTGGTGCACGGTAAGCTCGAGGGCCGTGTCTGAGGGCAGGTAGCGAACCGAGAGCTGGATGTCACCTCGAACGGCCACCGTGCCGTACCGCACCTCACCGGCCGAGCAGACGGAGAGCAGTGAGCCGCTGCGGGACTGAAATGGAGAGAGGGAAAACGGCCAGTGAGCGACGAGACTGACACTTAGAGAACAGTGAGACAAGCTGCTGCGAGACTGAAACAGAAAGAGAGGGAGAGAGAAGGTCAAAGCGAGAGCAGTGAGCCACTGCGGGACTGAAACAGAGAGAGGGGGAGGGACGGTCAGAGAGGGAACAAACTACGAACTGTGGCCAGAGAACGACAGGCAAACGACTCGAGAGAGAGAGAGAGAGAGAGAGAGAGAGAGAGAGAGAGAGAGAGAGAGAGAGAGAGAGAGAGAGAGAGAGAGAGAGAGAGAGAGAGAGAGAGAGAGAGAGAGAGAGACTGACACATTTCAGCAAAATTAGGCAGTGTGCTTCATCGTCGATAAGTGCGGTCAACGATCATGTCCATCTTACTCGCAAGCTTTGTGGTTTAATAAGACCTGACAATCTGCGAAGCAGGCAGTTACCACCTGTCCGCCAAGAAAAACCAGTTTCTGGGTAAATTGAGCGATGGAGTTGGTATCTTGTCCTAACTTCATTAATGCCCAGCACGAAAGCTGCTCATCAAGGGTGGCAGATTTGAATGCTCTGTTGACACAACCTGTCCGAGTTAAGACCAACTTCTAACTGGTTGGAAGTACTGCAAACAACGCAAACTTTTTGCCTGCTGCTGTCACCACAGTGTGTTGGCTGAAAATTTAATGCAAAGGATGAAGAAGCCTTGTCGTCTTCTACCAGTACCTCGTTGCATTCATCATCTCCCGTTGTATACACAACACAGCACACCGCGCTCTCCCAAACACGGCGTATTGGATATCTCCTGAGAAAGCTGTCCCCAGCGTGGGAGTCTCCGACGACAACCCGTCTGTCACCACGCCATCGATCGTCGCCGAGCCGGACAGAGTCGCAGCAGAGGCCTCCGCCGCTGTCACCTCTGGTCAATAAACAATCAGTAGAAGCGGAGCGCCCGTGGCCATCAGCCGAGCGTCGTCAGCCGCTGACACAATCTCGCCGCGAGAGGAACGCCACGCGCCATAATTGAATCATTCCTCACTGCGGCGCTGGGCTGCTCGACGCTGTCTCACTCGGCGCCGAGTTCGGTCACGTCGCGTGCGCTCGCAGTGTGAACCGAGCCGAGACCGTCTCAAAACTGACCTGCGCGACCTGAGCTTTCCGGCCGGGAGGCGGCGTCGTTTCGGTTACCCCAGTCCGGTCGACAAAAACAGGGGAGGGGAGCACGGCGGAGCCCCGACTCCCGCCCGCACCTGGTCAGGTGAGCTGCAGGAGCGTGGGAGAGCAGGGAGGGTGAGGGAGAGGAGGGGAGGCAGACGGGAGCAGCCGCCTGCCGCTCCAACTCTGAGGAAAACAATGCAGAACCGACACTGGCACCCAACGCCGGAAATATTTAAGATGGAGAGCAAAAGAAGATTACGTGTCTGAAGGAAGATAAAGGAAAACATTGCGTTAAAGCTGACGCGTTCGTGCTTAGCAACCGCTGTTTTATAGATGATACACTAAGCGGTTAAGCATATTTGAAAGTGTTGTTTAGGTGGCGAATGAGTGCATCAATATACCAGCTAAACCTATAGTCAACACTGATGCTTATATATGTAGAGAAGATTGTAATGGAACTGAATGTTTGAAACATCAGTTCGACCTGAATTTTATGTTACCAAATGGTTAATCTATTTCTGCTACTGTTCAGTATGTTAAATAAACTAGGAAAAGTAGCTTATTCAAGATCAAACGGACAGTCTGAAATTCGCCTAAAGAATCATCCTCCTGTGATTTATGATTATGTGAAATTTTAATACAACTCACTCCAACGAACTTCTGGGATAACAAGGCTCGCATAATAAGTTCCATATCAGCCTCCGATTCGGCTGAGCTCCATAAACTAACCGTAAAATCTCTTGCAATTGTTAGAACGTCTTACTCATCAAGAAACAATGAAAATGTTCACCGCAATCTGCTAACTATTCTCGCAGTGTTTAATAATACAATTGCTACAAAGATTATCTTCAAAGTCTAGACTCGGTCTGAATCTTCCCTAGACACTCCCTGAGCCAATATTCGCCATGTAACGCCCACGTTCCCACCCGCTCGCCGCCGGGTCGGGCTGGGACGGGCCGACGTTGGGTGTAATCACTCCAGTCCACACCTGGCCCTGTCCACCCACACACAGTCCGAATTGGCAGACCAATCGTCGCCACCAGGGCTTCTCCGCCCACAGAGCAACAAACGAGCCATCGCCCGAGCCGTTGGGAGTTCCCAAATGTGACCGTCCGCGGCCGCGCGCCACTCAGGTAACTAAACGGACACGCTTAGACGGCCGAAAAGGGGAAGAGGAGCCGTAATTATGTCACAGTTACGGAGTACGGAGTGTGATATGCGCTTATAGTTACACAGAGATAGCTCTTATCCACTGCAGTAACCATGGCATCTCGGTGTAATGATGTGCGAACACTGCCGTGACTGTCTGGTGGAGTCGAGTCATGCGGTACAGTCTATCTTCAGGCGTCTACCTCTGCTGCCATCTAGTGAGCGACGACCGAATCAACACCCGAAAGACACATGGCGACACCACAGGACGATGCGATTTCAGGCCAGCTCCATATAACGAATTCCAGAATGTTCTATATATTTCTCAGGCGTCCCCTCACTGTGTCCGCATTTCTCGCTCAAACTTCACATATGCCAGGTCTGACAAAGCGTGTGTCCTAAAGGAAAATTCGAACACACCAAGCTCCACAAGCCGGAAGTGGCGAAAGTCACGTCATTCGGAAAAAAAAATGTGGACCAGAGATAAAACCAGGGCGTGTTCATTCGTTCGTATCACTGGAAACGACATATGGCACCAGAGCTCTGATCTGTAGAGATCAAGAGTGCTGCTGAGCACCATCTAGAGGTGTGTCGTGTCTTCCATGTTTTAGCATGTCTTGGTACGGTGCGAATTTATTGCTTTTTTATTATGACGACTTCATCCGTCATTGGGTGAGTGCCTGTGGATGATTTAACAATGAAACTAAACTAAACTAACTTAAAAACATGACGATATAACTTTTTACATCCGCGTCCAGCAGTAATAAGCGGTACTCAAGGTGAAAAATGAAAAAGCTGTGACGCGCTACCAGCACAAATGCCACACCGATAGCAGTTTAAAGGTAGTGTGCCACCTTTGAAAGATTTCCCATTTTATTTTTCCTAGGATAAGAAGCTTCTGTTTTTACCTAATATCGCAAAGAAAATCAAAAATGGGCCTGGGATAGTGCCTTTTTCGCCTAAAAGTTTATCGGTTTTTCGATATGTATAACAACTGTAGTGGGCTGACCTGCAAACAGGCGTCGGCAACAATCGCGAATGCGGCGCACATGTGACCATAAGCAAAGGTCATTATAGAGTTACGACGTACGGGAATGAGTTATCATCTGTCTAATCGTAGACAACACAATGTCGAGCCTTAAACTGTAAGCCTGTATTGGTATTGTTTCTTTTATTTGGCTGTCGAACATTATTTATGGTTTGAAATATGATTTTATGTAAAATAATTGATATGAAAAAGCCGTCTCTTAAGTTATGACCCCATTTCACCACACGCAAGTGGCAGAAATGACAATGATCAGCTGACGCATTTTTCTTGGCCGAAGTCAGAGCGCGCGGCCCGACGCACCACCACCGCACCACAAAGTATGAGCAGAAGCCACGCCCAAAGCCAGGGCCCCGGTAACGTGAGGTAGCCGAGTCGGGGCAGCGTGCGCTGACCCAAGCCGGGGCCGCAGCTTTGGGCGCGGTCTACCGCATCCCCGCGGGCAGCCCCGGGCTATCACATGACACCGGGAGGACGCGCGGCCCCGGCTTGGGTCAGCGCACGCTGCCCCGACTCGGCTACCTCACGTTACCGGGGCCCTGGCTTTGGGCGCGGTCTATACCGCACCACCTAACAGGCGTGTTCGAAACCGCAGGAGATGATGATGAACGGGTTTATCGAAACTTGATTGGATGAGCATATCGGTAATAGCGATTTCAGTGCGTGCATTTATTGTTCATAGTGGTGTGAAATGTGGTTGGGGTACGACCGACAACCCGTCGGGGCGAATTTCGCACTGGGGTACTCAAAATTTGAAGAATTTAAGACGTTTCCATGAGTTTTAAAGGTATGGATAAGTTCTAAAAATCCGGTTCTCCTTATCTGGGCCATCAACTCCATACGGTCCAGGAAAGCTGGCACACTACCTTTAAGGGCATTAGGCTGCGTTGAATATAATCTAAGGAAGTCTTCAGCCTCCAAAATAAGGTTATTTCAGGCACATAATAGACTGAAGGCAATTACTGGATTAAAGTAATTTGCAAAATGGCTGCCTGCAGTACGGAATTATGCAGTCGAATGATAAGTCTTATCAACGGCCAATGACAATGACCTTAAGAAGGCAACTAATGGTATCTACTGAACAGCTAAAATATAGAAATCGATCCAATACTACGAATGAATAAGTCAGACGATTCTTGGTTCACATTCGTTAAGATGCCTATCACACCGTTCACTAACATGCTCTATGAGGCTACGACAACAGTATCGTTAAGTATCGGTTACCATGGGCCTCAAGAACGCCTTTTGTGAAAATGGCGATAAAATTAGCCCCCAATTTGCTTCGAGTCCAACGTAATTTATCAGCTGAGTGAGTGGTCTCCGGCGGCCCCAATCCACCGGTCAGTAATGACCATGTCACCCTGGACAATGAACAGAAGCTCGACTAATCATGGCGCTACGCATGGCCTCGACTTGTGTGTGACTCGAGCGGCAAAGAAGGCGGGTGGATTAAGCAGTTTTCCACCGCGAGGTCACGGTAGCACTACCCAACCAGCATACCCCTTGTCGCCTAAAGCTCAAAAGCGCAACAGCGGGGGCCAACCAGAAGCCCCAGCAGCCGCTGCGGGCCGCTGCTAGCTAGCTCCGTGCCACCGTTTGTTTCGTAACAGCACGATCGGCCACGGCTTATCCCGGATCCCGTTAGCC